CTTATTATGTTTTTGATTGAGATCTTGAACCAATTGATGTTAGACCATCACAATTGAAAACCTGGAAGCACTGGACGGCCGTTTCGTCCTATTGTGGGACTCCTCAGCAGTGCGCATCCACGATCCCGCGAGCGGGATTCGAACCCAGGGCCTTCGGTCTCGCGCGCGAACGCTTAACCAACTGGACCACTGAGCCGGCATCCAATGGTGATAGTTTCTAACATCAACCAATCCACGGAATTATGATGGTATACCATTTTTGTTAGAATATTTAAGCTGATCAATCTCAATTTCTCAATGATCTAGTAATGAATATAAAAAAGAGATAATATTTTCAGAGATTGAATAATAACACGTTAACTAATAGAGTTTTATAGATGGTTACACCTTTAGACAGTATAAAAAATAAATCTTACTTAGTCATTATATTGTCAGTTGTGTTAAACAGAGATCATTAAAGATCTAGAGTTTCTTAAGGATGATCAAGAAAGTTTTTATGTGATGATGATCCTAATAATAATAATAATGGTAGTAAGGATAGTAGTGTAAATGATGCTAATAATAATAGATTTAACAATTAGTTAACATATTATGTACATGAATTTCTTTAGAATGTTAAAACTCTAGCTTGTCTAACGATTCATATGTATTCAGTGTAACAATATTTCAACTATCTAGTTACAGTATATTCAACGAAATAACTATCATGAGATAAACTTCTATTTAGAAATTGAAGATTTCATCATTTCGATTATTATGATTGATTCAGGGCTTTATTTTATACAATACTGACACACTTCAAAGATAAGTAAAGTATCCAAATTGATTGACAGATTTCCTTGTAAATGAATTCATAATTGTATCATACACATTGTTAATCATAACTCCTATTATGGTGAACATTAGATGAAATAAGTCTTAACACTGATCATTATCTACCAGACATTTAGTATCACTAGAGTATGATAAATAAATATCCCCCTTAAATGTATCTTCTCACTATATCAGTGAGGCTTATAATTGAGTTTACATGAGACGCTATCATTCAAACACAGAGCTGAATTCATTTCTGAAATTATTCAATTGAATACTGATAAATAAAAACCAGTTATTATTCACCTTTATGATTTAATATTTACTACTCATAAGTTACCCGTTGATGTAAAGATTTTATAAAGTCAATGACAATTGATCAGAAAACAAAGTTCATAGGGTTATTATGCTATAACAAAATATTTATTTAATTTTGCTAGTAACGATATGATTTTGCAAAGTTTTTAGTGCAGCTGTTCATTTTGACGTCAACTAGATCAGACGATGTTGTTTACGGATTCATCACTTTAGTGGCTCTATATCTGACTCCAATTGAATTGTATGCTGATTATTATCGAAATACACATGTCGGCTATCCTCATGTATTTCATCGACTTAAATCTCGTTGGTGAATAACGGAATTAAATAAGTTTTTGTTCCGTACAATCATTAATCCAGACAGACAATCAGTGAAACGAAACGGCTTACTTACTTACTTACGCCTGTTACTCCTCGTGAAGGAGCATAGGCCGCTCACCAGCGTTCTCCATCCAACCCTGTCCTGGGCAATCCTTTCTAGCTCCGTCCAGTTGTAATTCATCGTTTTCATATCTGCTTCTATTATCCGACGCAATGTGTTCTTTGGCCTTCCTCTTTTCCCCTTCCCTTCAGGATTCCAAGTTAGGGCTTACCTCGTGATGCAGTTTGACGATTTGCGTAATGTAAGTCCTATCCATTTCCATCGTCTTTTCCTAATTTCTTCTTCAGCTGGAAGTTGGTTTGTTCTCTCCCACAGAAGGCTGTTGCTGATGGTATCCGGCCAATGGATGTTGAGTATCTTGCGAAGACAGCTATTTATAAATACTTGTACTTTCTTGATGATGGTTGTTGTAGTTCTCCAAGTTTCAGCTCCATACAGTAGAACTGCCTTGACGTTCGTATTGAAGATTCTGACTTTGATATTGGTTGAAAGTTGTTTTGAGTTCCATATGTTCTTCAATTGTAGGAATGCGACCCTTGCTTTGCCGATCCTCGCCTTTACGTCTGCATCGGATCCTCCTTGTTCATCGATGATGCTTCCCAGGTATGTGAAGGACTCTACATCTTCCAGAGTTTCGCCATCAAGTGTGATTGGATTGCTGTTCTCCGCTTTGAATTTGAGGACCTTAGTTTTTCCTTTGTGTATGCTGAGGCCTACTGATGCAGAGACTGCTGCTACACTGGCTGTCTTCATCTGCATCTGTTCGTGTGTACGTGATAGGAGGGCTAGATCATCTGCGAAGTCCAAATCGTCTAATTGATTCTGAGCTGTCCATTGTATTCCGTGTTTTCCTTCAGATGTTGAGGTCTTCATAATCCAGTCGACCACCAGGAGAAAAAGGAAGGGAGAGAGTAAACAGCCTTGTCTGACTTCGGTCCTTACTTGGAATACATCTGTCAGCTGTCCTCCATGCACTACTTTGCACTGTAGTCCGTCGTATGAGTTCCGGATTATATTGACAATCTTCTCAGGAATTCCGTAGTGTCGAAGAAGTTTCCATAACGTCCTCCTATCTACACTGTCGAATGCCTTTTCATAATCAATGAAGTTGATGTATAATGATGAGTTCCACTCAACTGATTGTTCGACGATGATCCGTAGTGTTGCAATTTGGTCTGTGCACGACCGATCCTTACGGAATCCAGCTTGTTGATCTCGAAGTTGGGCGTCTACTGCATCCTTCATCCGGTTCAGCAACACTCTGTTGAAGACTTTCCCTGGTATTGACAGTAGTGTAATGCCTCTGTAGTTTTCACATTTGCTCAGATCTCCTTTCTTTGGAATCTTGACGAGGTGTCCTTCTTTCCAGTCCATCGGCACTTGTTCCTCCTCCCAAATCTTTTTGAATAGAAGATAAAGCATGCTTGTGGTTGTTTCGATGTCTGATTTCAGTGCTTCAGCTGGTATGTTGTCGGGTCCTGCTGGTAAAAACGCTTACCAGAAAGGAAACGAGACGAAACGATAAGCGGCGGAGAAGGCAAGTGAGCCACCTCCATTTAATCAAGCGTGAATCGATATTTATAGCTAGATAAAAACAAGTTACAGACATGTAATGGGTAAGATAAGAATTGCACGCATATACACTTACATAAAAACAGCCAGGGTTGACAAGCAAATAATTTTAATAGTTGAGATAATGAGTCAATTGAAGCTAAACCACCACGGAAAACCTGGAAGCACTGGACAGACATTTCTTCCTGTTGCGTGGCTCCTCAGCACTGCACATCCACGATCCCGCCTCGCGAGATCCGAACCCAGGACCTATCGATCTCGCGCACGAACGCTTAACCTCTAGACTACTAAGCCGGCATCCAACGGCGTTTATGTCTAACTTCAACTAATCCACAAAATTGAGCGACACATCCATATCAAAATCTAACTTTAATTGACCTATGATCTCAACTATTAAAATTACTATAATATCCACAAAAACCCCTTCCGATATTAAGCGATGATAATTAACAAGATCAAAACGTGACTCCAGAAGAATGAGCAGATTGGCCTGTCTATAAGCTAGAATAAGGTATATGGATTTAACACAGTAACCAACACTACAAGTTTATATTCATATCTCTAAACTCAAAACTTCTAACAATGTTTTTTGGTAAATGTTTACGACGAAACTATAATTTATGGACGAACCAATGAGATTTACGATAACAAGTCTTGGATTTTGGCGCGAAATTCACTCACCCATTCGTTCACATAGTGTCTTGGCATTTCAGCTGACGTCAGTTCGTGATGAAAACCATAAATCTAAATCCTAACCCTTACCATTAACTGTAATTCATTATTATTATTCCTTAAACTGCTTTATAGCCTTCATTTAACCCTATTAAATAAGTAAATACTCTTAAGGTCAAGTTGGCGTCGCTCAAATGTCGTCCATAAATTATAGTCTTACCGTGTTTACTTAGAAAGGTTTAGGTAGACAGCCATCTGTTTAACACTGAAAGAAATTTTACATTACTTACAATTGATGACAATTTTTTTATTACAATATTCATCATAAGAAACAACGTTGAAATGAATTAACAATTGAACAACAAGTGACATTTATGCTGTATTTCAATTTATAACAATCTTCATTATATGTAGGAATATGGCTCTTATATGCACACAAAAATAATATTCATATACAGACCTGTATAGACAAAACATAGTGCACTATGCACCATTCTTAAAGACGTATACACAACTAAATACTTGAGTTTCAACAGGAAATATTCCATTAAAGTTTATCTATGATCCACAGATACACTACTTAAAACGATAATGGATGGAGATACACTTCAAATGTTTTTTTAAAAGATTATAACAACATTTATCGATGGTAAGTGATTATTTTAAATGTTTGCTGCCAAAGAGGTGGTCATAGAGACCTGAGAGCGTTGCCCCAGGGGCAACTGCTTGAGGCCGGTCATACACAACCTTTCGTGTTAGCTCCGTACTTGTTGAGACCTTACCGCCGGAGACAGATGTCCGTGGGATAAGGTGAGGTGTGCATTTTTAGCGTCAAAGTTTTGTAACCTCATCATTCCTTGTGTGAAGGGAGCATCACTGTTATGCTGGTTGTCTGAGGAAAACACCTTACCACCGTCACACCTCTGTACAGTCGGTGGTACGACTTCGCCTTCAGACCTTGAGTTTGCTGCATTTGGTCTTACCGTTCTCCAATCGACATATCTGGCATGGTAGAACCTTGAGGAACGATTATTCTAGCCAGTATAGCTCAATTGAGTCATCAAAATAGGCAAGCTCACCCACAAAGTCAAGGTAGCAGCAACGGTCGGGACTGGTAAAATATAATTTTATTATTAGTCTTTTTAAGATCGTTTTTATTGTATAAAATAAAAGTTATATGATATTGATTTGTGTCATATTCTACTTACTTATCTCCTTCTCTCTCTTTGTTTTCTTTTTTCAGATTTAGAAAGAATATTACAACGACAAAAACGTTTTGATGATTTATGTACATTATATACCATTTATGAACCAGATCAAGTTGTAACACAATGTTGTTGTATTGGTTGTAATCGTAAATATTTAGAACGATTCTGTAATCCAAATTAAAAATATTTTTTTTGTTTTTTTTTCCAAGAAAAAATTTGTCTATTCTATAAATAAAAGAGAAAAAAGAGAGAAAACAAAAAGAATAAAGAGAAAGAAAAATAAAAAAAATAAAAAAATTATTTTCATCCAAATGGTTTTTCTTTTTTTTTTTAGTTGTTTTAATGTACTTCGGATAGATGTATATATGTCAGTGAAATAAAGTTTTTGATTGAGATCATGAACCGATTAATGTTAGACCATCACAATTGAAAACCTGGAAGCACTGGACGGCCGTTTCGTCCTATTGTGGGACTCCTCAGCAGTGGATTGGTTGATGTTAGAAACTATCACCATTGGATGCCGGCTCAGTGGTCCAGTTGGTTAAGCGTTCGCGCGCGAGACCGAAGGCCCTGGGTTCGAATACCACAGGCGGGTCGTGGGTGCGCACTGCTGAAGAGTCCCACAACACGATGAAACGGCCATTCAGTGCTTCCAGGTTTTCAATTGTCGTCTAAGATCAATCGGTTCATGATCTCAATCTAAAACTTAATAATCTCCACAACCCCTATACTAGTAAATAAAGTTTTAGTTTACTAAAACTGGGAACATTCTAAGGACGTTTATTTTCTGTATAACTTTCACTTATTATTATTCAGTTTATTATGAACATTTGTCAATCAATATGTCTAGCCCTCAAATACCTTGATATGGCTAAGAGTGTGAAGAGTCAGTTTTCTCTCTCTCTCTCTCGAAATGTTCTCACATGGCTATTTGCATACAACCACTGCCAGGGAAGTCCTACTTAATACCTTCTTGCGGCGGGGTTATTGTTTATATAATTGAGAGGATGAAAAGCGAATGTCCAGTGCTTTAACCGGGTTGGTGGATACGGTGAATCCACTTAGGGGAGTTGGAAAACTCTGAGTCCAAACCAATGGTGTACATGGGCTCCAGTATTCTGCAGGGACAAATGGCATATGAACCAATCGTTGGTCACCGGTTACCATGGTACCGCATCTCCTCAGGTTGCTTCACTGCCTTTTGGATCAGACCTTTAGGTTAAAGGCCCCAGATGTAATCCCTTACGGAAACAACCGGCTTCGGTTTGGGCACCCGGGTAGTAACCTAGCCCTTACACAAATCGAATGATTTATGTGGAGCATATCTATTCTGTTTCGCCTTGTACCAAAGTTTATGCGTTCAAATAAATACTAAACAAATGACATTATGTCATTAAAACAATTAGAAAATTATGACACACTACAATATAGAATATACAGAATGCTCTAATCAACTAACATTGTCTATTCATCTTGTAGATCACTAACATAGATGATATATGTCGAATGATTGACGGCCTACTCGAGTTAGACGGGAATAGTGTAACCAAAAGCTAATTTCAAAGTCACAGATCGTCGTCAGTATCTAACATGGATTGCCCCTTCGACGTATCAAGATGTTATAACACAAAGGACGTTATTACGGAAATATATTAGTAAGAATTAGCACAAAGAAGATTTTCAGACCACCACCGCATGGGCCAATCCATGGCATATGATTAACTAATGCGTGTTGGTCGTGCTTGACTTTGACAGGGATTGATGATCTGTTCAATATTCAGTGACCTAACTGCCGGATCATTTGACTAGGGCTCAGTTACATTTCAGTGACCCTACAATCTGGCTTGTTCCTCAAGGAAGTGTCTAATTACGTCCTTAGGTTAATTATTAAGCAATAAATACTCCTTCTAAATGTATTTTCTTTGGTTTAGATTGAACTTCTATATAAAACCTAATAGTTAGGCATACTCTATAGTGGTCTTTAAAACGATGAAACATGAATTGTTAAATTTGTATAAAATGTAAACATTAAATCTATGACTGGAGATATAAGCTAATAAACCTCAATAATATTCTGATGATATTCACATTATACATTTGATTCAAAGCTTTTAGTCGACTATTATCCTGAAGGTAGCTGAAGAGATTTCTATATTCATAATAAAACACAAGTGAAATTGTCAACTGTCATTTGGATGTATCATTTGTAATTGATTCGATAAACATTTAGGTTAAATATACCAAGAATAGTTGAATTCAATAATAAACATTTGGGTACAGTAAACTATTCTGAAAAACAATCAATGAATCACTATCAAATATACAATCAAATTACATGTATAAGGTATATTCCATTGCAGAGGGTAGCAGAATTGCGTTATTGCTTGGAAGCGATATATAATAAGCTTAACTTATATAATGACACATGATATAATATCAAAACTGTTGATAATATAAAATCTGAAGGAATAATACCGCGGTTATACTGAGAACTGGATAAGGATAAGAATACACTAATTAACTTGCAGCTTATGCGTGAATATACCAGTAGGTTAAAGTAGTGATAAAAATTATATAACATCAATTGAGTTATAATATGAGGTCAATAAACAGAATCAGAAAATTTAAAACAATAAAATTGAATAGGATTCATGAGATAAATGTGAAGCTGGAAAACAAGTTAATAACAAGAATGGCATGGTAATTTCAGAAGAGTGAAAAAAGAAATAAATAAATAAAATAAAATGTAGAAAAGAAACCAATAGAATAAAGAAAAATAAGTAAAATCAACAAAAGAAAATCAAAAATTAAAAGTATAAAGAAAAAATTCAGAAAAACACCATGATGAGAACAAAAGGTGGGATGATGTATAAAAAAAAGAGAGTGCGAACAGCATCAATATCTGACTCGATACACTGTGTCTAGGTGGTGTGCCATTCGATCGTCTCACAGACACCACAACCACTATTCCGGTCAGACGAAACGGCTCGACAAACGTGCCGACTGAGAAGTAGCTGTGTGCACTGGTCGAGTGTGAGTGGTGTGATGTGGTCGGAGGAATGCATCTTGAAGTGTTTCACGTGGTCAGTGGTCAGTGGTAGTTTGAAGACACCTGATAGGATGAGGCTCCTCCGTCACTCGAACTCGGGTCACTGGATTCGCAGGTGACAGTGGCAACCGCCACACCACCAGACAGTAGATGCACGCTCACCGCATACATAACATCACACATTCACACCACACATACAAACGACACGACATGCCATCAACAACATCGTTTCACTCACACAAAATATACCACAGTGCACGCCAACAGTGCAATCACATACACACGTGCTCACTCACCGACTCACTCACTCACTCACTCACTCACTTGCTAGCTCGCTCACGTAATGTCACACACACGCACACACAAGCATCAATACTGGAACAGTCTGTGAAATACAATGGCTCAATTACACATATGCGTAATCACATGCAGGTGCAGAAGTGTGGAGTAGGAGGAATCTGTGTGCATAAGTGGTAACCTCCTGAACATGTGTAATTGGGGCATGCGTACGTAGTGGTGGGTGTGTGACCGCAATCGGTCGAACACAGACGACATAGTAGTTTGTGAATCACAGTTTGCCGTTCAGCCTGTTGATTGACCAGGTGATTGATCAGACTGAGGAGTGGTGTTGAGTGCAATGGTGAAGTGTGATTGGGACGACGTGATCGAAGGGTAGTTGCGAAGTGATGCACATGGAGAGTGATAAATTCAAAAGTGCTCTAGGCACTAGCACTAGGCCTCGCCGAGAATCGAACTCGGGTCGCTGGATTCAAAGTCCAGAGTGATAACCGCTACACCACGAGGCCACGTTCGCGACCTAACCAAACACACCACACCACATATTTACAACATACCTACATCATACCGACAATTTATCAACGACAATTCCTCACACAATTATACATTCCACTACCAGGATCCACAACTACTACTACATCATCAACACTACAACACGCCATTTCCATATTCATCTTCATCTTCATCTTGTCCTTCACATTCGCCGTCACCTACATCTACACACACAACAAAACTGAACCAATCACTCTTGCTCACATCCACGTGCATGTGCGTGGAGCAGACCGACAGTCAGACAAACATCTCAATCGCCCAACAGAATTCCTGTCTTCCTGATTCACTCACTCACTCACGCACTCACACACTCACTCACTCACTCAATCACTCAATCACTCAATCACTCAATCACCAACACACTCACTCACTCACTCACTCACTCACTCTCTCACATACCCTCTATCCAACTCACACGTCCACGAACACACTTGCACAGACACATTGACATCGCTGAAGCGTCCATCTATGTCATCCAATACAACAAGCTATCCAGGACAGCATCAACATCTGACTCGATACACTGTGTCTAGGTGGTGTGCCATTCGATCGTCTCACAGACACCACAACCACTATTCCGGTCAGACGAAACGGCTCGACAAACGTGCCGACTGAGAAGTAGCTGTGTGCACTGGTCGAGTGTGAGTGGTGTGATGTGGTCGGAGGAATGCATCTTGAAGTGTTTCACGTGGTCAGTGGTCAGTGGTAGTTTGAAGACACCTGATAGGATGAGGCTCCTCCGTCACTCGAACTCGGGTCACTGGATTCGCAGGTGACAGTGGCAACCGCCACACCACCAGACAGTAGATGCACGCTCACCGCATACATAACATCACACATTCACACCACACATACAAACGACACGACATGCCATCAACAACATCGTTTCACTCACACAAAATATACCACAGTGCACGCCAACAGTGCAATCACATACACACGTGCTCACTCACCCACTCACTCACTCACTCACTCACTTGCTAGCTCGCTCACGCAATGTCACACACACACGTACACACAAGCATCAATACTGGAACAGTCTGTGAAATACAATGGCTCAATTACACATATGCGTAATCACATGCAGGTGCAGAAGTGTGGAGTAGGAGGAATCTGTGTGCATAAGTGGTAACCTCCTGAACATGTGTAATTGGGACATGCGTACGTAGTGGTGGGTGTGTGACCGCAATCGGTCGAACACAGACGACATAGTAGTTTGTGAATCACAGTTTGCCGTTCAGCCTGTTGATTGACCAGGTGATTGATCAGACTGAGGAGTGGTGTTGAGTGCAATGGTGAAGTGTGATTGGGACGACGTGATCGAAGGGTAG